CTCCTTTCCTCCTCCAAGTCCTTGATGTGCATGCTGCCCCCCCCCCCCCCCCCCCCGTTTGTTTTCCACCTGTCACGGGGCTGCTGTTGGCACAAGTGGGGACGGAATGGTGCTGAGGGACAGGTCCAGGTGGACACCAGGACGCGGGAGGTCCCTGTGTTGGGTGAGCCCTGGCCAGGCCCCCTGACACCATCTACGTGAACATCTAGGTTCTATCTTCTCAGGCTCCTTCAGGTGGCCTCCAGAGGAAGAAGGGGAAGCCCAGACCAAGAAGGCACTGCTGAGGCAGCTGGGGCCTCCCGCAGCCTGCCGCCCTTGGGAACATCTGCTTGGTGCACTTCCTGGTCCACTCTGTACAACCCTGCACAGAGCCCGGCTTAGCCTATTTTACAGAGGCCCCGAGTCTCCACAGGTGCTCAGGGCCACCCAGCTGTGGAGCGGCACCCTGGGCACACTCCGTGGGCCCCATGAGCCACCAAGCATTGGTTCAGGTCGCCTGGTGCTTCTAAGACTTACCCAAACTTTTAGGCCACTGATGTTTGTTTTTAAAAATTTGGTCCTTTTATACTTTCCCTGCAGGTAGAAAGCACAGAGTTTGATATGGCTCAGAGGAGGGGGATGGGAGGATTTCCTGAGGCTCCATCCAAAGTCTGGATGCAGGCTGCAGAGCTGACAGAGAAGAGTTAATGAGGCAAAGCCCATCTAGGCCGCAGCCCATCTGACTGAATGTTCTAGTCTCCTCCAATAGTTGAGGCATCCAGAATGAGAGGTACCAGAAGGTATTCAACACTCACTGTTGAGTAACAACTATAAAAAGATGAACCGTCGTGTGTTGAGCAGTAGGTGCCGTGAATGACACAGGAATGTTCGTTTCACAAGCCTCACTCTTGGGTAAATGATGAAAATACGCAACGTTTCAGCTGATGAAGAACAAAAGTTATTGTCTGTCACAGGGCTTCTGCATCCTGATGGTGACTTTGGCAGGGTATGCATAAGACTTACCAGGTCCAAGACCAAGGGGAGGAATCTGGAAAAGATTCTTTAATATGCTTGCCTTTTAGGGACCACCTGGTGCCTCAGTTTCCTTGAACAACTTGCCCATGATCACGCAGTTCGTTAGCACAGAGCCACGACTGTGAGCCAGAATGCTGACCCTTGTCCACTGTGCTACCTGCTCTCTGCACATTCCCCTCGGACCTCTAAGCATTAAGTTTGTGCTCAGGGCAGGGGTGTAGCTCAGTGGAGGAAAGCTTGCCCAGCATGCATGAAGCCTGTGTTCAGCCCCCAACACCAGAAAAAAAGACCATGCTCAGTGATCCCCATCAAGGTTTTCAAAGCCACAAGTGTGAATGCCTAAAATATTTTACGTTCAAAATGAGATAAATTTGTTTTCTATAATATTTTGGTATTGCTTTTCAGATTTTTACTTCCAAAATGTGTAGGTGTCAATGAAGGCTCCCTTATATATCATTTTAGTTTACATGTCACACCTTCACTACCTAAGTAGGCTCACTCAAGGTAGCATGCAAAGTGGGGGTCTATGTGCATTCAAAAACATAACCTACAGATTACGAGACTGAAAGGGCAAAATTTTTGTTAAAATTTTAAATTTTGTTTTAATTGTTACCACCTGTCAGGAGTAGGGGACAATCTCATCCACACCGTCTGAACTGGGCCAGTGGCTGCGCCTACACCACAGGGCTCCAGAGAGCACCCAGGAGTCCCTGGAGGGCTCTGGTGGCCTTCAGCCCCCATTGCTTCACACAGGCTCAGTATGGACCTGATCTCTGCAGGGACCCAGGGACACACCCTGCACAACCCCTAATGTACCAGAGGGTCCTGGGCATTTCTGTATAAAACACCGGTCTCCTTGCCTAAAAATAGCCCTTTCTACAGGCTCCCCATCAACTGGCAGAAATCCCCCACTCTTGTATATATTTGGCATTTCACATCCATGTTAAGTGCCTGACTTCACATGAGAGACCTGTCCCTGTGACTATGGCAGGGGACACTCAGTGCGGTGAGGTAGCATTCAGGGGAGGGGCTCACCAAAACAATTTTTAAAAATGGTCATTATTGATTATTGGGGTGTAGCTGAGTGGTAGAACACTCTCCCAGCAGAGAAAGTAAAAAAAAAAAAAAAAAAAAAAAAAGCCAAGCACAGTGATGCACGTCTGTAATCCCAGTGACTTGAGAGCCTGAGGCAGGAGAATTGCAGGTACAAGGCCAGCCTGTGCAACTTTCTAGTGAGCCCCTGTCTCAAAATAAAATAAAAAAGGGGCTGGGGTTGTGGCTCAGTGGTAGAGTGCTTGCTGGCATGTGTGAGGCACTGGGTTGGATTCTCAGCACCACATATAAATAAATACATAAAGGTCCATTGACAACGAAAAAAATTAAAAATAAGAAGGGCTGGGGATGTAGCTCAGTGGTCAAGTGTCCCCAGATTCAATCCCTGGTACTGCAAAAAAAAAAATTATAATTTCTTCTTTTGGAAACAATGAATCATGAAATGACATGAGTTAGAACCCGATCTGCAAAGTGGCTCATTTATTTCTGATACCACCCAAGATGAACCTGAGAGGTCCTTTTGGGTCAGTCACTCCATCCTCTGAGCCTCACCCTCCTAGGTCCCCCAACAAGAATCTATGGCTCCCTCCCCTGGCCGCAACTTTTCTTACAATACTCATGAAACTTCAAAACATGTTAAGACCAATCTCATTTGGAAAAATCTTAGCTTACATATTTTGGTCACTCCCCCCCAAAACGACCTTGTGTAGAGCCTGTCATACATGACACACACGTTCAAGTCACACACACACACACCATATTGTCAGAAGATGAGCATCAGCTGCAGACGCCATGTGAATTTCAGGCTCCTGAACTCCCTCTCTGCCTGTGGCTCCAAGGGCTCCAGAGGTACCTGGACCCACACAGTAAGGCAGGTGCTCGGGAGGCTCTTCTAGCTCTGGGAAGTGCAGGGCAGCAGTGGCATCCCACCTGGCAGGCCTGGCCCTGCACAGCTCTCATGGATGCAGGGCACACTAAGCAGAACAGGGCTGGGAAGGAGCAGGGTCACTGGTGCCCTGCGTCCAAGGGGGGGACAGAGGAAACGTTCCTTAATGATATCCTAATGTTTTGGCATGAACAGAATTCAGGAAAAGAGAAAGTGAACCTCAGCACGTCAGACGGGTTCTGCACAGGTAGCACTTGCCCTGCCCCTGGCCAGATGTCCTGACCACTGTACTCCATGATCTTGGTTCATCTCACCCAGTGAAACACCAAGACGGAGGGTTCTAGATGCTGGGGTAGGCTCACATTTGCAGATGGACAGTGGTGTGCAAGGCACCCTGCTCACCCTCTGAGCACCCTACGAGAGACTGCACCAGAGGCCAGGAAGTCTGGGCCAGAACCGGGCCTGCGGACCCAGAGCCAGCGCTCCTTCCTCCTGGCCTGGCCTCCAGCAGGTGGCCAGGACAGCGAGAGATTGGCCGCGGGTGGAGGAGAGATGCTGTCCAGACTGCTCTGGCACAGACCTGGGACTGCCATCAGCTGTGCAGCCCCCAGCTCTCCCTGCCCGACCCACCCTCACCTGGGTGCTCTCACTCCCTGCTTCTTCCCTGAGAAGTTTCGTTTTAAAGCTGGCCTTGCGGAATCACAGAACGATCCACACACCCGGGCTCCTCACCGATCTCACCCATGGAACGATGTGACTGGTAGCTTGCTGTGGCCCTGCCCTGACCTAGGACTGGCCTGCTCCACACTGCCCAGTGGGGGTGACCTGGTGCACAGGATGCCGTAGGGAACTCCTGAAGACCAACCTGGGGAAGGATGTGGGTTGCACAGCAGAGAGGCTGTGGTGCCTGCTGCAGGATGAATGGGGGTTATGGAGTAAGCACTCCGAGCATCCATTCTATGTAGTGCTGACCCACGGAACCCGGAGAGGATGGCAATGCCTCTGTTTATCTGCACCACCCCTCACGGCCCCAGATCCTTATGCTAGTGTCGGGCACGTGCCTGTGGAAATCAGAAGCAGCGACCACATACTCAGCAGGCACTGGTATAGTTCATCCCAACAAGACCAAGTCCTCACACGCCTGGTCCTTGAATAAGGCACGTACTGGGGGTTCTCCTGGCCACCCCATTCAGATCAGAAAGGGAAAGTGCCCTCACTCCCTGCTTCTTCCCTGAGAAGTTCCGTTTTAAAGCTGGCCTTGCGGAATCACAGAACGATCCACACACCCGGGCACTTTTCCTAGTGCTTATGTTTCCTTACAAGGGTGAATTTAACAAAATATGACCCAAGAGGAAGGGGGAGCAAGGTGGCATAGGGTATTTCACTCCAACAAGAACATCCTGAGGACTCCTCTCAGGACTTGGGTCTGCAGTGAGCTGCCCTTGGGTGGCTTGCCCGGGAGCATTGACTGAGGGTCCTGCGTGGCCCAAGTGTCGGGGCAGAGGCCTTAAGCCAGCTGTGTCTTGCCGAGACCACAGAGGTACAGCTGGGCAAGAGTGACAGGTTGTTTTACCAGGGGCCACCCTCCTCCAAGGAGGTCTGGACCATTCTGTGTATCGATGGCAAGGGAGGACGGTGAGGGAAAGTGAGGAGTGAGTGGGTTGAAATTTTTGGCCTTCTGACTTTCTCAATGTTTAAACTTCAGAAAAGGCTCCTGGCCTGTCAGTTCATTTGAATTATCCATATCAATAGTTCCATTTCCCAGACAGTCACAGATAAGGCCCAGGAAATACATTACAATTTCTCTTCGTTAAACAGGTCAGCATTTCAGAGAGATGGTTTTCAGCTACTGGCTTCCCTGCACTCTGCCCTGGAAGGCGTCTTGGAGTCTGAATACCAATATGATAAGGACGATGTTTTCCTAGTGCTTTCCAAGATGTGGACAAGCAACCCTCACCGTCCCCGTTGGACTTTAATGTGCAAGCCTTTCCCAAGAGCCTGCGTCTACGGCGTTTGGGGAAGCAGGCGGCACAGAGGGGAAGATGCGTGGAGTGCAGTGATTCTTATTTATTGCATTCTGCAGAAGCTGGGGCAGGGAGTCCTGAGAACAAGTCTGCTCCCACCAGCACTTCTGAAGATCACCTGAGGTCTGCATTCTGGGGAGGGAAGACTGGATCACCACTCGTCTCTCCTGAGATTTGGGTTTAGCCCTGACAGAAGAACATGTACCGACCTGAATAAGCTATGTGGGATTAAAGCAGGAAGCCAGCCACACACCAAGTCCTGCGAGAGACGTGGATCAACACGCTAGCCACCCACTTTAGCTCCGCATCTCCTTCCTGGGGAGAAGACGCCTGGCCTGGGGTACAGGCCTCCAGGCAGCCTCCAGGAAGGCTCTGTCCCGGGTCCTTGGGCCATGCTGCCATCTGTGTCCTCAATTCTCGTCATCCCGCCCATAGTCAATAGTCTGTAAGGCCTGGGCGATGAGCATCGCCATCTCCCGGGTGCCAGCAGCAACCACTCTGCACGACATGAGGTCGAGGGGTCCACCTGGAGATGGGAAGAGAGCAATCGAGGGTCACTGGATGGGGCCAGGCAGCCTATGTGGCAACTTGTCACATGCACCCCAAGGGGGACAGCTCATGACTGTGCCTGAGGCCGGGCCCTCCACAGCAGGTGTCCAGGTGGTGGATCTGCCAGGAGGGAGGCGAGCCTCTGCCCTCGCTTCACCCTAGTGAGGCCAAGGCCACATAGTGAGGAGACTGAAGCTGCCCCTGCTCAGAGGGCACCGAATGTCCAGTCCGGTCCAGTCCAGTAAGTCCACAGGATGGTTGGACCAGAATAGGGGAGCACATGGGTCACCAGGCTGTGGGGTGCCAAGGCTCCCCTTGACTCAGCCAGTCTGGGCAGGGTGGAGCTTGCACTCCCCCCTGGGCTCGTGGGCAGTGAAGCCCTGAGTCTTCCAGGGTGTGTGAAGCAGGACTGACTGCCTGGCTAGAGATCCGTGTGCACAGACGGAGCCTTGGGTGCTCGAGTGGCCAAATCCAGAGTGCCGGACTCTTGTTAACGTACAGCTGGCCTGTCTAGTCTCACCACCTGAGATCAACACTGTTTTACTTCCACACCTTTCTGGAAGCTCAGTTAAGGCCTTTCAAAGGAAACAGGTAGAAGTCAAGTTCCAAAAGAGCCACCCTATGTGCCCAGTGATCAGAAGTAAGCCAGGTGCCCCTGCTAAGGATCTCTGGACAGAGGCTGGGAAAGGAGGGCTGAAGCCTCGCCACATCCTCAGGACTCCTGAACATCTTGGAGCACATATGCAGGAGCTAAGTGGGCGCAGCGTGGACACGGAGGGAGCCCTAATGCACATGGAGCTCATGTCTGCCCTGGGTGGTCAGCCATGGGAGTCAAGGAGCCTGGGGCAGGAGAGCAGGTCACCTCTTGACCCATCCTCCTGAAACCCTGCAGGGTGCCCATGCTGGGCACAGGTGCTGGTAACACTCCTGGCTGTGGACTGTGGCAAGTGCCTAGCCTCAACTGTGGGGCTCACATCTGTCTGCCTGGCTGGGTCCTGGGGGGAACTGGGGTCTGGCTGTGTGTGGAGCCTGTAAAACCCCACAGCGCATCAGCACGCAGCGGTGCTGCTACTACCAGGTCAACAGACCCTGAGCTGCATCTGCAGGAAGGGGACCCAGTGCAGTGGGGACTTCGGGAAGTGCCCCACCACAGTGCCACCACCTCTAGATTTTGCTGCCAGGCCCCAGGATAGGAAAGCGGCAAAGGGCCACAGAGCTGACCTGAAGTGTCCATCACGATGCCACCCGCTTCTCTGATGATGACTGTGGCGGCTGCCAGGTCCCAGCAGTGCAGGCCAAACTGGTAATAGGCATCGGCGGCCCCCGAGGCCAGGTGGCAGAGTGCCAGTGTGGAGCTGCCAATCACTCGGACCCTGGGTCGGGGACATATGCAGGGAGGTGGGCCGAGTGCTCATGCTGAGCTCTTGCCATGGCGTGTCTACTCCTTTATCCTATCACGCTGTGCCAGGCACACTCAGAGGACAAATATGAACCATAGGCTTCTGCCAGCCAGCTGGGGACACAGGGCCTGCAGTGACCCTGCCCAGCAGTGCTCTCTGCAATGGCGCCAGCATCCTGTGCTACCTGGACCTCCGCCTGGGCACGGACCTTGGCCAGGGGGCTCAAGCCTGAAGCTCTGATTCAGCTGACCATCATGTGTCACATGAGTCCTTCCTGTGGGACAGACTTGGGGGAGAGGGAGGGCAGAGGATGCTCTTGGGCTTTAATTAACATTTATGAGAAACAAATCAGAACAAGAGACTGTCCGGAGCCACGTCCCCTGGAAGGGCTCACCAGCTGAGGCACTGAAGCCCGTTACTTGGACCCTCCAACAGTGACGTGAAGGCACACAGGCCACACCGTCTCCTGATGCCTGGTGACCTGAGCAGCCCAGGGAGGCTCCTGAGGATGGTGTCCCCGGACCTCTGCATAGAGGCCCTACACATGGGTGTTCCCTCTTCAAGCCCCTGGGGAGACATTAGCATGTGCTTGGTTCTGGCTCCTCTGACCACAGTGCGTTTCTGGGACTGAAATCCTACCCGTGAGCCTTGGCGTGCAGCAGTCGCTCCATGTTGCTCAGGAAGAGTCTCAGAGTAGCAGGGTCACGCTTGGGGCCGATTTCCGTCAGGACCAAGGCCTTCGAGAGATCTGCAAGAGAGACTCCCCACATGAGCAGGTTTCCCCAAAGCAACTTCAATGCCAGCTTCTCTTTCCTCCTCAGAGCTGGGCTGTCTGTGAGTGGTGATTCTCTGAGGTCTCTCCGAGCGCTATTTTGGAAAACAGGAGGTGGGGGGCAGCTGCCCCGTCTAAGACCATGCCCCCGTCCTTCCGCACTGGTTCCTGCCTCGGAATGTGAGGGAGGCCTCTGTAATCCTCCCTTTTTGGGAGGCTCCAAGTTACAGACGTGACATGGAGACCTTGGGAGAATGCAGCTTATGAAAAGCACCATCCTTCAACACATGAAAACAAACTTGAGTCCATGCTGGGAACACAAGGGGTAGGGGGTGGGGGTTCTTCATTAGATGGATCTTTCTAGAAGGCTTTAATCCAAGCCTTTCCCTAACTGCTGTGATCGCGCAGTGGGAGGTGCCCTGTGGAGGAAACACTTTGAAAGCAGCGTGGTCTTGGGGCCAAGGCCGTAGCACACAGGAGGGCGGGCTGGGCACTTATGGGCCCCAGGTGTGCAGGGGCCACACAGGCTGGTGCCTGGGGAACACTGCCAGGGAAGCCTGGCTCGTGAGCATGGGGGGCATGACGGGGACACTGCGGGGACTCAGGTGGTTTCTTTGCTTTGCCACACACCAACACACACCAGTCCTGTCTCGTCTGTCAAGCCACGCTGCCAGGTAGGGTGGAGCCACACCAGGTGTGCTCAGGAAGCAGGACGGGAATGGCCTCCACGAGGCTGCTTCATTCTGTGGGTCAAGTTCTGGGTGGACACCTCTGAAGGAGCCTCCATACCCTGCCTGTCCCTTCTCTACTGGCAGAGCAACCACGTTGACCTTGAATGCTCCCTGAAACAGGCTCCACAGCAAAGCACCTGTCCTCGGGAGGCCATAGTCATACCAGCACCGTCAACCCTGCTGGCAGCTGCGCCCTGCACGGAGAGCCACAGGACCAGGGCTTCAGGTGTCACTGCCACCATGAGAACGGGGTCCAGGTCGCTGCCCATGACTACTCTCTGAGCCCCACACTCACTTGGTGATCAACCGAGATGGTGCTTTTCTGGAAGGGGAAAAAAGACTTTTGCAGAGAAGGCCCAGAGGGCCAGGCCCAGCAGATGGCAGGGGGCAGAGAAGGCCCAGCAGAGGCGCAGGGGGCAGAAAAGGCCTAGCAGACTGCAGGGGGGCAGAGAAGGCTCAGAGGGCCAGGCCCAGCAGACCTCAGGGGGCAGAGAAGGCCCAGCAGAGGAGCAGGAGGCAGAGAAGGCCCAGCAGAGGGCCAGGCCCAGCAGACGTGCAGGGAGCAGCCCCTGAATTTAAGAATGAATGAAGCTCTCTCTCAAACAACAGCCCCAGGAAAGACTGGGGCTGGGGTGTGGCTCAGGGGGGAGCGCTGGGCTGGCATGTGCTGGGGTCCAACCCCAGCTCTGCAAAACAAAACAAAACAAAAATCCCACTGATACTAGTCTTTTTGTCTTTATTTGGTTAAATTACTAGTATTTGAAATACATGGGAGGAATTTTTGTGTTAAATAGGATTTTACTGGCTAGTCCAAGAATTCAATATTATGGGTAACACTATTTGGGGGGTATTAACTCTGAATTACTTAATACATTATAATTACAAATATATATAATTATATATTATAAGTGCAATATATTAGTTAAAAATGTTCTTTTCAAAGATATATCGCATTTAGAGAGCACCTAGTAAGATTAAAAATCGGAAGTTGGACTCACCAAAGAGGAGGCTCAGAGAGCAAATAAGTAATGACAAGATGCTCTGCAGCAAACCTCTTAGAAGACATGTGAATTAACACAGCAATGGGTCACCAGTGCGCACCTCTCAGAAGGGCCAAAACCCTAACTCTGACAACACCCAATGCAGGAACTGTCACCCACCGCTGGTGGCAATGCGGAAGGACAGGCCCTTCAGAGGACAACTTGCAGCTTTTTGCAGACATACATCCTCTAACATGTGACCTGGCAGTTGAGCTCCTTGGAATTTACAGAAATGAACTGAAGGCTTGTTTTCACCCAGCCCTTGCACACAGGTGGCTACAGCAGTGTTCCTGACGGCAGGGCTTGGAACAGCCAAGATCGCTCAGCAGGTGATGAGTCAACTATGGACAGCCAGACCACAAAATGGTACCCAAACCTAAAAGGAAATGAACTATCCAGTCACGAGGGAAGGAAATGTAAATGCTTATTATTAAGTAAAATCCACGTAGTGTATGATCCCAACTCTACGATACCTTAGAGAGGGAGAAACTGTGGAGACAGTTAAAAAGATGAGCGGTTGCCCCAGGTTTGGGGATGGGGTGGGAGATGAGGCCAAGGCTAAACAGGCAGTGCCTGGATGATGTCAGGGCAGCAAACCTCCTCTGTAAAACACCACACGCTGAATACACGTCCTCGGACTTCTATCCAAACCAACGGAGTGTGCGCCGAGAGCGAGTGGTATTGCAAACCCTGGGTTTAGGGTGCTCATGAGAGCTAAGGTAGGTTCACAGACTATGACCAACGTACCCCTTGGGCAAGGGATGCTGATGATGGATGTCATGCCTGGGAGCAGAGGTCACTTGGCACCTTCTGCTCAATTCTGCTGTGAACCTAAAACTGCTCTAAAATAAGAGTCCATTAAAAAAAGAAAGAGGACTGGGGCGGCAGAAGAGGTAGGGAATCAGATAGCCTGCTTGTCACTTTGGCCAGGAAGAGGGAAGAATTGGTACTGGAAGCCATGGAGGAAAAAGAAGTCATAGCAATAGTGACCTGACCCCAAGCAGCCAACTTCCGCTCTCATCTGAGGGCAAGATCCAGACAGGAGACTCAAAACCAGGGCACTCTGGGCTGTGTTCTTCTGGCCCTGGGAAGACATCAAGGAAGGAGGACACTGGGGTTTCCCCAGGAGCTGGGGCTGCAAGCCCTTTCCACAGGGGGAGAAGCACCTGGTTCCTCGGGTATGTAGGAAGTGACACCCCAGGGCCAGGGCCTTGCCCAGCCTCCCTGCTCAGAGGGCAGGGTAGCCAGGCCAGCCTGGACAGGCAGAGGCCCCAGGCAGGATTGAGGCCGGAGGAGCAGGAATTTCCAGTAAGAGCCTGGGATGATTTCACAAGAGCAGGGCTGTGACAGCAAGGGCTCACTCATCTCTGCCACAGACAGCCCGAGGGCCAGGCTTCCTGGGAGCCTTGCCACCACCAGGCTTCTAACAGGAGGGAGTCCTGCTAGACGGGAAGGCCCTACAGGAGGCCCTGCAGTTCCAGGGGCAGGGGGCACAGAAGTCCATGCAGGCTCCTAGCAGATACCGTGAAATAAAGGGCTTCTCCTAGTTTGCTGAATTCATTTATTAGTTATAGAAGTTTTCTGGTGGAATTTCTTGGATCTTCTAAATATAGAATTATATTGTTGGCAAATAGTGATAGTTTGAGTTCTTCTTTTCCTGTCTCTTTAACTTCTTCTAATTGTTCTGGCTAGAGTCCCAACAAGTATGTTAAATAGAAGTGGTAAAAGAGGATATTCCTGTCTTGTTCCAGTTTCTACAGGGAATGCTTCCAATTTTTCTCCATTTAGAACGATGTGGGCCTGGGGCTTAGTATAGATAGCTTTCACAATACTGAGGTATGATCCTACTATTCCTAGTTTTTCTAGCGTTTTGAACATGAAGAGGTGCTGTATTTTATCGAATGCTTTCTCAGCATCTATTGAGATGATCATATGATTCTTGTCTTTAAGTCTACTGATGTGACATATTACATTTATTGATTTCCATACGTTGAACCAACCTTGCATCCCTGGGATGAACCCCACTTGATCATGGTGCACTATCTTTTTAATATGTTTTTGTATGCAATTGGCCAGGATTTTGCTCAGAGCTTCTATCTGATTGCTCATTTTTTTTTTTTCCTTTTTTGTAGTGCTGGGGGTTAAACCCAGGGCCTGCCACATGCCAGGCAAATGCTCTACCATGGGCTGCCCGCTTGCCCACCTAGCTGTAAAGTTTGTTGAAAGCTCAGACTCATTCTTGCTTATTCCCGCTACACAGCACGTGGTGAGAGGAAGCCCAGAGCCACCCACAGATATGAGGGGGAAAAGGTCACGTGTCACGATTCCCTCTCCTTGATGTCATCTTACGACCAGTTTCTCGCGATTCCTACCATGTTTGTACTTTATCACCCTTCGTCCTATATTGGCCACATGTTAGCTCTTATTAAAACACTAACACAAAAAGAAACCCAGATTAAATTAAACTATTGTGATTCTGGGTGATAGAAACAAGGAGCTGTTGCTTAATGGGTACAGTGTTTCCATCTGAAGTGAGAAATTCTGGAAACTTCAAGGTGAAGGACACACAACACTGTGGATGTAATTAATACCATGCATAGCAGGCTTAGAAATGACCAGGGGGCAAACTTATGTTATATACGTTTAGCCACAGCAGAAAACACAGGACCAGTTTTGAAGTAGGGCACCTCTGTATATTCTTTCAATAAACGTATTTTAGAATTAAAATAGATTTTGTGACTTTTGATGGTTGAAAACCCTTGTTCTGTTGAGCACGACCAAGTTAAAGCACTGAGTATCAAGAGTACTACTGTCGTCCAAGAAGCTCCACACCTTAAAGGTGGAGGAAAGCTGTGTGAACACTGTGTTAGTCCTCTTTCCATCACTATAACAAGATACCCTGGGATCATCCACTCATAAGGAGGAAGGGTGTATCTTGGCTCAGGGCTTCAGAGTTTTCGTCCAAGGTTGCTTGGGCCTGTGCTCAGCCGGCACATCATGGCAGCAGCACATGGCAGAGAAGCCCGTTCACCTCAGCAGCTGGGGAGCACAGAGGGAGAGGAAGGGCTGAGGGTCTCAGTATCCCCTTCAGGGATGCACCCTCAGGACCCACCTCCCACCAGGCCTACCTCCAGCACACAGGCTTTGGAGAAACCAGATTCCAAGCACAGGAGGACCTGAGAGAGGCACTCAGGGACAGAGATCT